CAAATATAGTTTATACTCCCTCTGGCCTTCTACAACTTTCTCTATACCCTCAGGTCAGGCTTTTTGTATCTCTGCTCCTCTGGTTTAGCCAGACATTTTTGTTTTAGATAAATTTCTCTTTCCCTTTTATTTCATTATTTTAGTATCCTTTTGTTTTCTAGACTACATGAAAACTTTCACCAAAGTCTTTCTTGTGGTTACTTTCAGTAGTCTAGAATATTGTATCGGTACGACACCTTAAACAAGAGTAGAAATACGTATGTATATGCATATGTGTATATTATAGCAAAACAATTTTAAACCAACTTCCCTAAATGATGACAATATTTATAACCCACTGAATCTGAATGACCAGAACCCATATATTTTTCTTTCCTGTGGAAATAAAAGCACATTTTCCCCCAAACATAATATATTTTTTGACTTTTATTCTAAAGCCGAGACATCTTAAAGTATATAGGCTGGTTTAATTCAGAAGTTTCTTGGGTAGGAAAGGGTTAAGGTGGAAAAGTAGCTATGGCAAGGACCTTGGTATAGGGAGGTGTTATCAAAAGGCTGTAATTGGAGCTGGAGTGATGGCTCAGTGGTTAAGAGCACTGGCCTCTACCCCAGACTCCCCACTTGTTTGAGGACTAGGTCCAGAAGGGTGGAACTCATTGCCTGCCCCATGATATTAATTTTCAGGAACCCCAAAGAGGACGAACAGAACAGAAACATACACATGAAAACAAACCCACTTGTATTCGAAAAAGAAACTGAAAAGATACAGACAGTGTGTCTGTTCATGCTTGGGCTCCACCAAGACGACTGAAACCTTCGGTCAGTTACTGCCATAATCAGATTGGAGTTTCCCAACTCCAACAGGTGGGAACCTTCCCATTTCCAGCAGAAGGGTGCTCTGAGCGTTCTCAGACTCTCCAACCAGGAGGAATTGACAGCACATCTGCCCTTCCTCAGTAGGTCTTCAGTTTGTGTCTGGTCACCAGACCAGCACCAGTATTTTTCTTCATCTAGTCACCGAACCAGAGCAAAGACAAAACTCACTCAGACTCACCGATTGGCGGAGAACAGATAATGCTTCACTAATGAGCTGGTGAGGTCCCCAGTGCTCCCGCACAATGCACTAAGTATAGGGTCTGAGGAAACGCTGAAGGAAGACCCCAGACTCAAATAGTAAAAGCAAAGAGCATTTATTTTACCAGCATGCATGTGGGGTCATTCACCTGTACAAAATGGCAATGACCCTGAGATGAGTGTGCAGGCTCCTTGTAAGCACAGTTAAGGGGCGTTCCAGTGACAGTTAGGTCATCTCAAATATGATTGGTTGAACAATTAGCAATTATATTAGTATATTTCTAATTGGCTGAGGCCGAGTTTGGTCACTTTTGGGCACAACTGCACAAGCTTGGGCAAGTACTTGAGACACTGCAAGACTTAGACCTTACGTGTTTGTTCTCTGCCTCGACCCTGAATATAAGAGCAATGTGGATGAATAGCCCTTTGTTGGGAGAAACACCTGCTTTGCCCTTCTTAGAGAACTGAAACCTAAAATCAATTTAACCCCTTCACTATGCCACCATTTCTCCCTAGGTGATTTATTATTTAATTTGTCTAGATCCTTCCCTAACTGGTGCAACTGAAACTTCTAGAATTTAAGTATCATGTCCAAGTTAGGGTTTCTATTGCTGCAATAAAATACCATGGCCAAATACAACTTGGGGAGGAAAGAATTTATTTGATTTATATTTCCATATCATTGTTCAACATTGGAGGAAGTCAGGACAGGAATGCACACAGGGCAGGATCCTGGAGGCAGGAGCTAATGTAGAGGCCATGGAGGGGTGCTGTTTATTGGCTTGTTCCTCGTGGCTTGCTCAGTCTGCTTTTTTATAGAACCCAGGACCACCAGCCCAGAGATGGCACCACCTGCAATGTGTTGTGCCCTCCCCCATCAATCACTAATTAAGAAAATGCCTTACAGACTTGCCTGCAGCCTGATCTTATGGAGGTATTTTCTTGAGACTCTCGTCTCTGATGACTTTAGTTTGTGTCAAGCTGACATAAAATTATACTGTGATGTTAATAGTTTTATTTATTTACTATTCTTATTTTAATTAAAAATTCTCATGTACAATATTTGATCATGTTCCTTCCTCTCCTCTAACTTCTGCCAAGTCTCCCCTTCCTGTCCCAACTTTTTTTCTCTCTCAAAAACCCACAAAACACAAAAACAGAAATCAAAGCAAACAAGCAAAAGATCAATAAGAAAAAAACAACACCAGCAGCAGCAGCAGCAACAACAAAACCCATAGCATTTGTGTGTGTGTTGGCCAGCTATTCCTGGCAATAGAGCTTCCCTGGAGTGTGACTGATACCCAGTGACACTCCACTGGAGAAGACAGATTTGCCCTTGGCTGGCGAGTATCAATTGCAAACAGCTTCTCTCTTAGGGGTGAGACTCTGTGTCCACTTTCCCCTCTCAGTGCTGGGATCCCATCTGGCTCTGTGATGTTAACATTGATTTTCAACAAGCCAGCATCAGTAGGAAACAAGCCTCTGGGCATACCTGTAGGGGTTTATCTAGATGACTAGTCTGGGTGTACCTGTAAGGGGTTTATCTAGATGACTAGCCTCTGGGCATACCTGTAAGGGGTTTATGTAGATGACTAGTCTCTGGACATACCTGTAAGGGGTTTATCTAGATGACTAGTCTCTGGGCATACCTGTAAGGGGTTTATCTAGATGACTAGTCTCTGGGCATACCTGACTGATTGTCTTAAGTTAATTGATGTGAGAAGACAAAACCTAAATGTGAGAAGCTCCATTTCCTGGCCTGGGCTGAGATTCTGAGTGAAAGGTTGCTGAATATAGACATTATCTTTCTTTTCTTTGTGGCTGCGGATGCAACTTGAAAAGCTGTCTCAAGCTCCTCTTTCCAGGAATTTCCCACAATGATGAGCTTTATCCGAAAAAGGTGAGCCAAAACAATCATGTTCTCAAGTTAGTCTTGTCAGTTCCTGAATGCTCTTTCATTTGGATCACTGGGGAACTTATAAAAAGGACTTCATTTTGCTCATTGTTTTAGAGGCCGAATGTCCAAGAAGAGAAACAGCTTTCATAAAGGCCTCATGGCAGCACTACTACAGCGGGAGTGGCGTGGGGAACGAGGGGCAGACCAGGAATCCAGAGAGAGATTCAGGGGCCAGCTTGAGGGGCATCTTGTTGGAGGGAGGGCTGCTAGTTAGTTTCTAGCTGCTCAGCCCCAAAATAATTACACAGAAACTATATTAATTAAATCACTGCTTGGACCATTAGCATTGCTTCTAATTTGCTAACTATTACATGTTAATTTAACCCATCTCCATTAATCTGTATATTACCATGAGGTCGTGGCCTACTAGCAAAGTTTCAGCACGTCTCCAGCAGCGGATCCATGGAGTTCCTCTGTGTCTTCCTCCTCCCAGCATTCCATTTAGTTCTCCCCACCTACCTCTGTTCCCCTACAGCTCTGCTATAGGCCCAAAGCACTTCCTTTATTAACCAATGTTAATCACAGCACACAGAGGGGAATCCCACATCAGCATCTGACACCTTGGGCCTCCTAATGCACTGGCACTGACATGCACAGATTCACATAATTACAATAAAATAAAAAGTAAACCCCCAACAAACCCCAAAAGGAACTGTTCTGAAAATGGAAAAGGGACTGCTCAGAATGGAAAAATTGAGTTCTTAGGCCTACGTCACAGCATGAAATCATTCTTTTGGTCTAAGAGGACACCTCATTTCTTCTTGATATGGCTGCTGTTAATGGGCTTGACAATTTGTGGGTAAGGGCAGCTCCAGCTTTTCCTAGTATTACCCCATGAACACAGGACATTGCAAACAACAGGTCCTCAACAAAAAAGTAGGGTGACATTTATTTGTATTGTAATTTTATTAAAAATAACTTGCAAATATAAAGCATCACACATAGAAATTAATCAGATCCAGAGTCTATACATCATAGTGAACTTCTCTACAATTCTGAAGCTGTGGAGCTTCATGCTGGGTGGTTGACATATTAGGATGTAATCCCTCATACAATTTCTACTCATGTAACTTAATTTTACAGAGGAACAGATTTTGTTGAAGGGGAAAATAAAAATTAACAATTTCTTTCATTTTTCTCTGCTTATTGACATTGGATATATTATAAAATTCCTTCACATTTCAAATTAAATTCCTATTCCAAAGTTATTACAGACCACAAAATAAGATGGAGGGTTTTGTTATATAAAATAGCAAAAGATGGGTAGGCATGGGGCACAGATCTTTAAATCTGGCACTCAGGAGAAAGAGATAGGTGGATCTGCCTCTTGGTCTACATAGAGAATTCCAGACCACCTAGGGCTACATAGTGTGATCCCACTACAGAAAGCAATACATGTGTCATTAATGCCATTTATAGACTTAGATTCTGAAGTTCATTAAATCTTTCGATTAAACAAAACAAAATTTAAAAATACTAAAAAAAGGTTCCAAGTTACCCTTATAAAACAGGAAAAAGATGTTATTCATGTACTTTCACTAGCTGTCTTTACTACTTAAAACAGTGACTGTCACCCTCAAACACAGTGAAGACTCATATGAGACTTCATCCAGAAAGATTTTGAATGTGGCACTAGAACTTATATTGGACATGCAGTAGCCATTGGTGGTGTCAATGCTAAGCAAAATTCCCTGTTTTCTCAAAGCCTCTAAATACAGGGACTGGAAAGGTATGGAGCCACTTAGATTATCCTGCTGACCTGAGCCAAAAACTCTAAGACATCCACACTTCTGGTTTCAGCATGGGCCCTTGGACCCAATAGGAACTCACAGTAAGGAGGATCACTGTCAGGAACTGGAATGTATTCCAGGTACCCTTCCTGTACAAAATTTTCAGTGAAAAGCTTCTTGGCATTCCCGGCTATATAGTGATTTTCTATGGGAGTTACTCCCATCATATTTAGTGCTCATCAGATCACATTCTCACCGACCCGATTTCCATACATGCAGATGACACCTAGGACAGTTATTAGGAGGCCTGTTTTGGGCATGCCTTGGACATTAGTAAGCATCCCATCATAAGTGATTCCCAGGGCAATGACAAAGGCATAGGTGTGGATAACAGGGTCCATTTCTATCACATCAATGCCAAATACAAGCTTCAAACCCTCAGAGGCCTCATTAAATATCCTATTGTAGTGCTGCTCATCGTCCCCAATAATATTTTCTATAATTTCTGCCTTGTTGGTCAGCTCCTTCAATCTATACTTAAGGAGCAGGAACTGCACCAAATCAGCCACCTTTGCACTCAGTGCATGGTACAATACCAGCTCCCCTCTTTGGTTGCCAGAGGCCTCATCAAATGGGGATATTGGAATGGAGGCCATGACAGTGGGAGGAGATAAGGCTCGCTGAGGACTCTGGGGAGAATCTGGTATCCCACCATCAGGCATCTTCCTGGGGAGGGCTGGGCTAGTGGAATCGGAGGAGCTGTTGTTATTGGACTCCTCTCCCTCAGCCACAGAGAGATCAGAATTCATCTGGCCCTGTTCTTCTTTTTGGGCCTGAGATTCTCCCTGAAAGTTGCAATACTGCTTCTTTTGACCATGAGACATGATGACGTTCTTGAAGCTAGCAAGCAGGAGGATGGGTACAGACTCAGACCTGGGGCAAGAAGAGAGCGATGCAAGAATACTTTGGTGACTGTTACAACCTGAAACCTTTCCGAATGGCCTGTTGACTTTTTCTCTTGGGTGGTACTGTATGGCCACAGGGGAGCCTGTATTTCTGTCAGTCCTATTACTTAGGATACTGAAGGAAGAAGTAAGAAGTGTCTTCAGAGCACAGCCAGGTTACAGAGCTTGACACTCCAGTGGGACAAGGAAATGTGGAGTCCCTGTGTTCTGGGAAGAATGGGACCCTTGGTACCTCACGTTCACTCCTGATTCTGTGTGGCCTTCCCCTACATCTGACCTGAAGACACTACCCCAGAACAAGAGTTGCACACTGTGAGACTACTTGGTGCCCGGCCCTAATCGGAAAGGAGAGCTGGACTCTGGGTAGCTTCTCCACTGTCTCATATGGTACCCTCTGTAGTCACTCTTTGCATTGTCAGGGTCTGGACCCCAACCCTCTTCTGCCTGAGGCCAACTTCTTGCAATGGAGGTCCACAACTCTGGGATGGGACAAGGCAGCCAGGGAACCTTACATCCAGTCAAACTTTCCCAGGGTGACAGAAAGTGGTAACACACTTCACTAGGGTCTGTGTGTGTCATGAAGGAAAGCCTGTTTCATATTTACCTTGATAAATTGCAAGGTCTGAACTGCTTCCCCTGATGAGCTTAATGAGCTTCTTTAATGTGACACTGTATTTCTGTGAAAAGAGAAAGGAAGTGAGCAGAAGAAATCCACCTATAGTCTCCAGGTTTTCCCATAGCCAATAGAAGCTCTAGGTCCCACGTGTTTAGGTGATGGAATGCTCTCAGTCCTCACCTTGAGTTCTGACACGACTGTTGATATGGGGTTCCCTAAGTCCACCAGAAGTTTATTTATCTGTTGAAATATGAAGCGGCGGCGGGGCTGCGTCCCCAACACCCCGGCCGCTTGGCTAGCTCATGCCCGAAATAACAACACACAAACTGTATTCATTTAAAGAACTGCTTGGCCCATACTCTAGCCCTTATAGGCTAATTCTCGCACCTGGACTAGCCCATTTCTAATAATGTGTGTAAGCACCCCAAGGTGCGCTTACCAGGAAGATTCTAGCCTATGTCCATCTTCATCGTGTGTGCCTCAGAGAGCAGAGCTATCGCGTCTACCCGGGAGAGCTGAGCATGGTGTCTCTTCGGGAGCAGAGCAGAGTCTGACCTCACTTCCTCTTCCGCCCAGAATTCTATTCTGTTTATTCCTCCCACCAATGCTTTAACCTATGAGGCCAAGCAGTGTGTTTATTACTTAACCAATGAAATCAACAGATTGATATATGACACTCCCACATCATTTATCTGATGTGTCCTTTCTGATATCTCCACAGCAATTCTGCAGAACAGGCCTCACTTTCCCCTGACACCTTATAGGCTAAAGTGAAGGCAGAACTGACAAGAGGGTGGAGGCAACCATGCACTTCCAAGTGCGAGCACCCCACTGTCATCCCATAATACCCAGGCCATTCCCTCTGCTGAGGCAGCATTCTTTCGAGTAAGCCTCCTAAATTCTCTCAGACCTGGATGCAGAAGTCAGAAATCATCTGGTTATTAGTGCCTATCTGGGCTCAGGGCAGGGGTATAGCTGGTCCCCATCCAAGGTATTCTCAGTCTTTCCTAAATATTTATCTTGACTTCCATCAGTGCCTGGGACCCTTACTCTGCTGACCTCAGGTCCTACTTCTACCTACAAACCCTCTCCCCTCTCAGACCAACATGTGGAAACTAGGCATTACTTTACTGGTCACCTCAAATGGGGCCTCCTTGCGCTTCTGAGGCATCCTTTGTTGTATTAGAATTCTCTCCTTCATAATCTGGTCCTTCTTCCCTATGACCATGACATTTCCTTCATTTCTGATACCCAAGAAATAAGCTTGGGAACTCCACATGTGGCCATAGATCCCGAGCCTCCCAGAGTTAACAGCAAGGAAATAATGGGATATTTTGGTGGCTCTTTATCATCCCTCAGTCTTCCCTATGACTCCCAGACTATTCTGGACCTCAACATCTGGTGATCTCGGTCTGCTGCCCCCAGATCAAGGCTCACTGATTTCAGGGGACTTCTCAGACAGAAGGAGGGGTGGGGGAAAGGGAATTTGGAGTCCAAGTGTCTCCCCTTTAAAGTCTGCTTCCTTATGGTGCTGGGCTGGCAACAGAGTCAAGGATGAAACCATCCTTGGAGGTTACCTGTTTTTGGACTGGAGCTTCCTGAATCTGTCCCTGGGATCTTATTGTGATCCCTCGCAGAGCTATGCAGACCTCAGAATAGGACTGTGAGTGGCAAAATCTACTCAAGTGAAGGATTAAGGGGCCAGCCGCTGTATGGTGCAGAGCTGAAAATAGAAGCATGGTCAGATCATTCTTGGGGGTATTAACATCAGGGGAAAACTTCTAAATTCATCTCCAGGGTCTCACCATGTTCTCTAACAGAGTCCTTTCATCTCAGGGGACCTCAGAACATGGTTACAAATTCCAGAGTCCATTGTGGCAAAAAGAAGAAGTAGAAGAGCTCACTCCAGCAAGTTGTCACCGTGTGGTATAGGGGAAATAAAAGTGGCAGGAATGGATTGTTTGAGGCTCTGCTATCAGGACTGGGGCTTCTCCATTCTACCTTCAGAGTCTCTTAGAATCCTGCTACAGATCCCTAAGTCCTCTTTGCTGTATGGACCATAGAATGTGGCTCTGAATCCTAAAGTCTACTAAGGCAGAGAGAGGGTGTTGATTCTCATTTGAGCAAAGCTCACCCCTATTATGGTTCAGGACAGATAAAGAGCTTACCATAACTTCACAGAGCCTGGCTCTCAAAAAAAAAAATGTTTCCTAAATTCAGTGTAATCTCAGTACTTAGGAGGCCCACCTGATCTACACAGAATTTCAGGATAGCTTTGGCTACATAGTAGGGACCATCTCAAAACAAAGTGAAATAAAACAACCAAAAATAAAAAGACCCTGTCTCAAAAACTCAAAACAATATAAAAGATAAGGTCTCTGATTGTACTGGTATATATCACATGCCCATAACTAAAAACAGAAACAAACCCCAAAATAACAAAAAAGACAAAAAGATAACAAGTCTGATTCTGGGAGTCTCTACTGAGGAGAAAGTGGGAAGCGAAGGTTACCAATGGATTATAAGGGAGGGGTATGTCCCTCTGTCTGGGGCTTTGTCAGTCTCAGAGTCTTAACACGTCTCTTCACATGTGCTGGCTCTCTCTCTCTCTCTCTCTCTCTCTCTCTCTCTCTCTCTCGCACACACTTTCTTTTATTTTGGTTTTTCAAGACAATGGTTTCTTTGTGTAACCCTGGCTTTCCCGGAACTCACTTTGTAGACCAAGTTTGTTAAACTGAGTGGTGGTGGTGCACACCTTTAATCCCAGCACTTCGGAGGAAGGGGCAGGTGGATCTCTGTGAGGTCAAGGCCAGCTTGGTCTACAGAGTGAGTTCCAGGACAGGCTCCAAATCTCCATAGAGAAACCCTATCTTGAAAAAAAAAAAAGGATGGCAGTGGTGGTACATGCCTATAATCGCTGTAATCTCAATATTAAGGAGGCTGGGGAAGATGGCACTTTGTTATTTATTTATTTATTTATTTATTTATTTATCTATCTATCTATCTATCTATCTATCTATCTATTTATTTATTTATTTATTTATTTATTTATTTATTTAGGTTTTGCGAGACATGGTTTCTCTGTAACTTTGGAGCCTGTCCTGGAACTAGCTCTTGTAGACCAGGCTGGCCTCAAACTCACAGAGATCTGCCTGCCTCTGCCTCCCAAGTGCTGGGATTAAAGGCGTGCGCCACCACGGCCTGGCTCAGATGGTACTTCAAAGGTGACTTAGTCTACACAGCAAATTTTGGGACAGTCTGGGCTACGTAGAAAGTAAACCTAAGTAAACCAAACCAAAACAAACCAGGGACTAGAGAGTTGGATCATCAGAGCACTTGCTGTTCTTGCAGAGTACCAGAGTTTGGTTCCCAGCACCCACTTTGGGTGGTTCACCACCCCTGGTAACTTGAACTCTGGAGGATTCGTTGCCCACTTCTGTTCTAGACTTTACTTGTTCACATACTGCAAACACACACATATACATAAATAAAAGTAAAACAAACCCAACAAACAAAACAAAAGGACAAAATTAACTGCTTTGGGAGTCTGCTGAAGAAGGAGGGACTGGGGTGAGGTTTCCGAAGTTTTATGTGAGAGGCCTTCTCTCGGGGTGCCATGTCCTGCCTCAGAGTTTTAACTTATTCCCTCAGAGAGCTTAGGTATTTTTCACCCGGCCACCCTCCATGGTTCTGAATCCCAGATTCCACTGAGGTAAACTTCCTCCAGGTGCCAGACTGATCAAAAGGTACCAAGCCTGCATTAAATGCTAACCATTGATCTGGGGTTGTGCTTCCATAGGCTACCCTCAGGCTTTCACCCTCGTACAGAATTGGCGCCTTCTCCATTCAAAATGGCTCCCAAGCAGTGCCTGTTCAGTCATGCTTATACTGGCAGCCCTGTTTAGGCTGAACTAGTAGCGCCAAGTTTGAGGCCAGGGAGGGCTACACAGTGAGGACCTGACTCAAACAATGAAACCAAACAAGCGAAACACTGTCTTAACAACTCTTACCTCGACCATTTTGCCATAGGAGGCCAGAGAATGGCTAATTCCTGCCATGTGCTCCAGGGTAGGTATCATTCACACAATGATAGATGTGGACAAGGTGGCAGAGGTGAACACACCAGCCGTGCTGTTGGAATGTCTGGGGGTCCCTCGCTCCACCCACAAAGTCTTACCTACTTACCTCACAGCTCCTCCGTGTTTTCTCACCTCAGGCAACCTCCGAACTTCCAGAATCCAAGTCAGAAGGCTTGAGCAGAGCGCCCCACTGTGGTTCGTGGTCGGGTTGGGGTACAGCACAA